CTTATAAGGACACCAGTCTTCAATTTAGGGCCCACCCTAAACCCAGCATGACCTCATCTTAAATTAACTCATGACATCTACCAATGTCCTATTTCCATAAAAGGTCATATTCTGAGGTTCTGGGTAGACATGAATTTGGGGGGCACAGTATTAATTATAGACTGAATCCCGTCCTCTCAAAATTCACATGTTGAAGTCCTAACCCCCAATACCTTAGAATGTGACTGTATTTGGAGATAGGGCCTTAGAAGTGACTAAGGTTAAATGAGGTCACATGGATAGGCCTCAATCCAGTATGACTGGTGTCCTTATAAGAAGAGGAAGAGGCATTAGGTGTATGTGTACACAGAGAAAATGCCATGTGAGGTCACAGTGAAAAAGTGGCCATCTGCAAACCAAAGAGAAAGGCCTTAGGAAAAACCAAACCTGCCAATACTTTGACCTTGGACTTCTAGAGTCCACAACTGCGAGAAAATAATTTTCTGTTGTTTAAGCTACTCAGTCTGTAGTATTTTGTTATGGCAGCCCAAGAAGACAAATACACTATTTCACTACCACCCCACCTCACACACACACATGGATTCTCTATTGGGAACACAATGGAATAGAAGTATCTTTGATTGAATGCGTATCGGTGACTTGAAGGATGAGGTCAAATCCTGGCAGAGTACTGCCTCTGAGCTGCTGCTTGAGTCTTCAGCAACCACTGCAACATATCCTCGGGCAGGAAGTTTCTGGGTGGCATAGAGTGTGATACCAGTGGATCTCATGGTCACAGGCCTATTCTTGCACCTTCTTAGCTTTAAAGATGGTCCCCTGAGCTGACACAATGTTATGTGGTTTCTCCTGCCAGTGAATCAAAGCCTTCAGGTGCTGATGCTGGATGAGGCCCTACAAAAAGGAAAGGCAAACCTATTCCACTGAGAACGGACCACAGGCCTTTCTAGGCTGACTGCCCCAACCTGCCTCATAAAGCAGTGATGACTTATCAGAGGCCCAGCATCCTTTTCTGCCGCTGATAGGTTTGACATTTTGCAGTGGTGGTAACTATGGTAGCTGTGATAGATAAGTCGGAGCCCATTCTGGCCCAGGAGGTGTCTAAGTCTCTAAATGCAGAGGGCATGGCCTTCCTCTAGAACCTTAGGTGGCTGCATTGTGGTTCTCTTACTGCAGCTTGCCACACACTCCACAAAACACCTTTCTCCACCACTGTGATCTCCAGTACAATAGCACCTATCCTATGGCTCAGAAAGCAGGGCTGCTTCCCCTGCAACCCAGACCCACTGCAGAGCTCCTTCCTGCTGCGGGTCCCATGCAGAACAGGCAGCCTTAGCATCATCTGGTATATGGCCCAGAACATTATCCTAAGGTATGAAATACGCTGCCTCCAGAACCCAGGAGGCTCACCGGGCGTCGTGCTGCCTTCCTCATGGCAGGAGGTGTATGTAGCAATTTTTCACTGTGGAGGTGATGCACCGGCCTGTCCCTGACCACTGGACCCCTAAAAATTTTATGGGTGTGGCATATTGTTCATAAGGTTTATCCCCTACTCTCTGTAATAAGTCTTACTAAGGCCTCATTGTTCTATTTTTTTCTGAATTTTATTTTTTTATACAGCATGTTATTATCTATTTTATACATATTACTGTATATATGTCAATCCCAATCTCCCAATGCATCTCACCACCACCACCACCCCGCTCCCCACTCCTCCACCCCTCGTTTTCCCCCCTTGGTGTGCGTACGTTTGTTCTCTACATCTGTGTCTCTATTTCTGCCTTGTGTTCTAGCTACTTCTTGCTCATCCATCCTCAGCATACTATCATTGATGAAGCAGGTGCATACTCTGTAGGATAAAGTGGCAGAGTTAATAAAGCCCTGGGACAAAACTACTGAAGTATAGTGTCCATTCCATGTGGATGCAATCTGTTTCTGATCCCCTTTTTCGATGAAGAGAAACCATCTGCAAAATCCAAGACTACATTCCTTGGACTTGGGCTCCATATATCTGCTCCAACAAAGAGGCCACATCCGGCATGGCATTTGCAACCAAGGTGACTACTTGGCTGAACTTGAAGTTGCCTATAGGCATCTTCCAGGATCCATGCAGTTTCAACAGGGGAAAGACTGGTGAATTAATATAGATGGGATGGGATTTTCATCTCTGCATTTTTTAGATCCCTAAGGATGCCACTAATTTCTGCCATCATTCCAGGCTATACCATTGCTTTTTGCTCACCATCTTGGCTGTGGTAAGGAGGAGGTAGGAGGGTAGTTAAGTTTCAGAGGCTTCCACTTAGCCTTCCAAACACCCAGTGAAACCACTGTAACCTTGCATTTGGTCAAGACCCCTGTTATTATCCAACCCCTCCCTCACTTTAAGGGAGCAAAAGGGACACGTTGCGTCTCTGGATAGCAGTTATCAATTCAGACTCTGTCCAACAGGCCTTGAAATATCTTATTTTCCTCCTTTCCCCAGAGTAGAATTATGAGTGAATGTCTCTAGGTTTTGGGGAAGCACTGGAGGACTACCTTGTCCAGATGCCTTGGTGCTACAGGGGCCTTCCTCCTGGGGACCTCTTTCATCGGTGGGCTATGGGTCTGAAAAGTGACTCAGGTGCAGAAACTGAGCAAGGGATGATAATTTTTTATCGGGACAACCACCCTTCGGCCTCCATGTTATCTATCCTTGATATTGTCCAGTGGTACAAAAACTAAGTAGTACTCTCATTGTTACCCACTTATTTTGCCCCTAAGCCTGCTGTATTCTACTAACCTTCTCCGTGACTCTCTGCAGGTCAGGTCCCCTTGACTAACCACTCACACCTTGGTAGTCATTACCACAGTTGTGACCCCACTGACTCTTGGCAAATAGGTACTGCCACTGGCCACCTATTATTTCAGGGTCTTATCACCCACTGCCATCAGCAAGCTAAGTTTTCCAATAGTTTGTTTCTATTGTCAGAAGTAGCCTACAGAGTCACCACTGAACTTCCGGGGAACCCTCGTGCTCCTCTCATCGGCACATGTCTTCAGGGCCTTGTTAAATGGTATGTCTGTTGGGCCTTCCTGTGGAACATAATCATCCAAAGAAAAATCTATCCATTCTGGCATATCCACTTCCCTCAACCTTTTCATTCTTTCCTCCACCATTTGCCACTCAACTTTGTTTAGAATTGGCCATTGCTTTTTCCATGTTTCTAGAAGCCATCCTGGTAGTGAGTTCACATCTCCTGGCATCCTAGCCGGGATGTTAAATCCTATTAAGAGAGTGCTTATCCTGCAACCCAAGGACCCAATGTGGGTGCTATTATCAAACTCTCCCCTAGTTTTGTCCTGTCCCTCCTCAACAACCTCAGATTCCAGCCGCAATCATTCTCCTGCTCGTCCCAATACATCTAGGCCAATTCTTGCAGCTCCTTTGGGGTACAGTCTGTCTCCTGTCTCATCAGGCCCAGCCCCTCTCTGGCTGAGTTTTACTTAACCCTAATTAAGTTGCTCAACCCTAATTCTAGGTCTAGTGGCACGGAGATAGGGCAGGTTGCCTGGGGAAAGAGACCTCTGCATCATCATCTAGCTTGGGAGTAGGTGAGGCGCCTTTGCCCTTAAGAGAGAGAAGTGGGCTGCGACTTGGGGCTCAGAAAGTTCAGGAGTCTAGGGAGTGAAAATCTTCAGCGGCATCCATTGAAATGTCTCCATCTCACTCGTCAGGGTCCTGGATATTGCCAGACAGTCCCTTGACCTTTGCAAAATAGACCTGCCGTGATGGGCAACTGTCTTTGAAGTTTATCCATTCAGACCAACTCCTGGCTTGGTCCTCAGTTTTCTCAGTTCTCCTGCTGCAAGAGATGAAAGCTTTTTCCAATGCATCTAGAGGCCCTCTGGCTTTCACACCTGGCTTTCTGTTGCCTGTTATTGCCCTCAGCTGTTCATTATGGTTCCATGGAATAAAAATGGCTCAGCAATAGCCATCCTACCTGTTATCCATATGGCTACAATTTTCTCCATACTTTTCAAATGCCAGCCTGTCTGATGATGCATTCCTTTCTACCACACCGTCCCAATTCACTGTCAGCGTAAACTGTAACCACTGGAACCTGTGCCAGCAACTGTCTGTTCTCCACCTACCACAAATGATGGGGTTCAGCTGCATCACTTTGTGTCCATCACACGCTATTAATCTCTGCTACCTATCTTGCATAATAGACGAAAAAATGAAACAGTTTATACAAGAATATTGGAATGCTTTCCAAAATAGGTTTAAAATACTAAGAATAAGAAATCAAATAAAATATCAAAAGTATATAAGTGAGATACTAGATTTATTCAAAGAGAAATGAAATTTCCTGGGTAAAACATCTGTGTGATAATACTGATTCTGAAAAATGGCTATATATAGTCACCTTTGTCTATACATTTAAGCATAAATAAGAGGTATTGTTCAGGACACACGCTGTGAAGAAAGAAATGAATGATTCAATTGCTAAAACACACATATAACTACTTAAGATAACATGAATATTTAATGAAAATTTAGCATATAACATCTGACTTTTATCCTGTGGACAAACGAGAAGAATTACAATAATTCATTTTACCCATTACATTTTACAAAATCAGACAGAACGATTTTCTAAGCAGTGTTAATAAAAACAGCAATTTAATTTCAAACAAATATATTACCATCCTATTCCTTTATCCTATATATGTATTTAATTAGCAAACCTACTAGATTACTGAAGTCAGTAAAATCCAATCCATGATGCGTCAACTGCTTGGATCGATAAACACCTTACATTTGAGATTCATTTTTCTTATGCCAGAAGCCTGATTATCAGTTCCTATTAAAATGCTATGCCCTACTCCTTGCCCCAGTAAGTGTGACTAGTCTTTCACATAAGGCTAAGTGACAGTACGTACGTCTGTATATCCACACACGATTCATCAAGCACACACATTCCAGCTCCTCAGACAAGGTCACCAATGGGCAAGCAGCTTTCCTAGTTCTCTTGTTCCTCATAGTGAGCATAGCCACTGGCATAGGTCCTTCCTAAATTCAAATTACTAAACAAATCTGATGACTCAGCATCTGAATCCTTTCCACCTTCATCTTCTTCCTCTTCATCATCCTCTGCTTCGTACTCATCTTCTTCCTCATCATGGTAGCTGGTATCACCACACTTATCAGATGCAAGGGTCTTCCAATAGGCATCATACCCAGAAGCTCCATCTCCCTCTTCACCTCCAGTCTGCCTGCCGAATTTCAGGGAGCGTGCTACGAAAGACAGATATGTATGTGGCACCTGATTAGCTCCAATTCTCTACATCCTCATTTTCCTCTACAATATGTGACGTTACATGAACTTGACTGGCTGCTTCTTACTCTCAAATGAAATAGTCAGTCACATTTTCCTTATTTCCTCACTTAACATTTAACTGGAAAGAAAGGAGACCTTAGAAACAACAATCAGTTCAATCCTACTTAGAGTCTGCATACACATCATATATAAGAAATGATAAAGATGACAGTGTCATTTCATTAAGTCTAGACAAAGTAGGAAAATGAAATAAGAATAATAGCACTCTCCATACATAAGTTAAATAAGGCACATTAAAAACTAAAATGCCCTTTGATCAATTAAAAGTGCATTTTCCAATCACAGAACAGGTGATTTCACATCATTACACTCTTCTCAAGAGAGCTACTTTATAATTCAGATGTCCTAGAAGACAAAGGCTGTCATTTCTTCTGCCTTAGTAGCAAAACAAAGTTTGGGTAAAACATTATGTCTCACCTCACTGTATAACTCTATCTTTGATTAAACAAAGTAGAGTCATTTAGAATTACGGTTCCATTATATGTTTGGTAAAGAGTCAAATTCTCTTTAACAAAATTGTGAGCTTCGTTACTGCAAGCATGTTTGTAGTAATTGCATTCCTTCATAGAAAAGTTATATAAAAACTGTACAACAATTTCCTACAGTAGTGATGTATAACATAATAAGCATCACTGCTCAAATGTCACACACATAAGAATAGCTTCAAAATGAATTCCAACTTCCAAGTACTGAAGATTACCACCACTTAAATATTGAGGATTTATTGCTACTCGATTATTTAAAATGAAGCCTCAGCAAAAACAGAAAAATCATTCTTTTTGGTCTTAAGTTTCAGTATTCACTATGTCATTAACTGAAGCAAATGCCAAATATCAGAGTGAATGACAGTATATTTCTTAAGTTAAATTGGGAAATTTTACCCACAAATTTTCCAAGGCTATAAAATTCCATTTGCATAAGAGAGCACATTCATCTTTTCAAATATGAAGAAAAGGCAAAAACAAAAAGAGAAAGAGAAAAAGAAGAGATAAACCTTGTCTAAGCAAGAAAGCAAAATCACCCCAGTGGTACTTTAACAAGAGCCTTACTTGACATGCTAAGATCCTTAGTTTCCTGGGTTTCATGTCCACATTTAGGGCAGGGAGGCCGTTTTCCTTTTTCTTGCTTAAACACCTTGCTCCTTGTATGATCATCACAGAAACAAGCCTGTATAGGAGAAATAAAAATGAGCAAGTTAAATAAGAATTCAAAAAATATATGAAGACATCACTTAGTATTCCAAGGAAATGTAAAGTTAAAGATATACTTTTGCTAGGGCAGAGATTAAGAGTTTTGTTGGGACTGGTCACGCTCCTGATTTCAATTCCTTAAAGGAAAAGGTCTCTGCCAGGACTCTTCTGAACTATGGCCTAAACCCAAGACAGAAAATATATGCAGGGTATGATATGTAGACACGTTTCTTCGTAAATATGAGTATTCACAAAGCCTCTGATGACATAATGGTGACAAGCTCATCTACCTGCACAGAGCACACAGTCTAACTGGAGACACAGACAAGTGGAGAGGCAGCTACACACACTACGCATTGCAAGGGAAGTGAAGAGGAGAAGCGCCAAACCAGACCCAGGATTCAGGAAAGGCTGCCTGGGAGACGTGAAGTCTTAGCCGAGATCTGCAGGAGAATGGGGGTGCAGCAGGGTAAGCAAAGACGGAAGAGTGATCTAAGGCAGAGGAAACAGCACAGACAGAACTGGAGAAGAGCTGGGGGAGAATTAAGAGACAGGGTTAGGAGTATTAGTAGGAACCAGAGAAATGGCTCTGAGAGGCAGTGAATCAGCTGCATCTGTTTAGTGATCTTTGACAAATGGAAATGCTGGAGACAAGGTCTACGGAAACACAACATTATGGAAATCTTCACTGTACTCAAACTCTACCAAACAAGTGCATTTTGACATAAGGTGAAATATACTCCCATCATTTTGGTCAGAATGTTCTCTATAAACATAAGGCATAAAAACACTGAGCTAAGATTCAGGAGACACACGCACTAGTGTCAACTCTAAGACAAGCCAACTAGGTGACCTATGAAATGTCTCTAACCTGTCTCAACTTCATTCACAATCTCTAAAATAAAAGAAGTAAATTACATAATGTTTAAGGACACTTGTAGATTTATTATAGCTATAAATAACCCAAGAGCTGGTGGATGAGTATGTGGATCAAAAACAAAATCTAAAACGAAAAAATATAAAAGTATACCTTACAACGGAGACAGGAATGCTGACCAAGCCGATTGCATGAAACACCTGTGAGGGAAAGCACATAATATCCATTTTCAAACTTGGAATGAAAACACTATTTTCCACAGATTTATACTCGATGTACTATCTTAGATCAATTATCAACGTTTTTTTCTCTGTCTCATAACCTAGAGGATACAAAAAATGAGATGGAATCCCCAGCCAGATACAAGTAACCCAGCAATTGCACAGACACAGCATTCTTTTATCCTCCAATCTCCTTCTATTGCTCCAAAACTAGGAGATGGCAAACTTCATTAATGATATTTAGGAAACTGAAATGGTAAAACATTTTTTCAGTGACATTGGCTGGACTCTTCACTTAAGGATATAACAGTTCAGGACTTCCCTGGTGGTGCAGTGGTTAAGAATCCGCCTGCCAATACAGGGGACACAGGTTCAAGCACTGGTCCGGGAAGATCCCACATGCCATGGAGCAACTAAGCCCATGCGCCACAACTACTGAGCCCGCGAGCCGCAACTACTGAAGCCCGTGCGCCTAGAGCCCATGCTCCACAACAAGAGAAGCCACCGCAATGAGAAGCCCGCGCACCGCAACGAAGAGTAGCCCCCGCTCGCCACAACTAGAGAAAGCCCACGTGCAGCAACAAAGACCCAACACAGCCAAAAAAAAAAGGATATAACTTCAATTTTTAAAAGAATAACTGTCTCCATTAATATATATTCTCTCCTCATGTTGTAGGCTATTGCCATTTTTTGCAAACTTCTGATATGAGAATAGAATACTTCAGGTGGAAAAGCGTGACTATGAAGAGAAAATAATACTCAAGTGGGCAGGAAAACAGATGGAAAAATCCTTAAATATTTTATCTCTATTTCAGTCAGTAAGTCACATTAATTTTGGTCATTATCTACAATTAATGCAAATATTAATGCAAATAATGCTCCTAAACGTAAGAGCAAGTATTTTAGAAAAGCCAATTTGTCTGGCACATATTGAATACGCCAAAAAATGAAAGACAAAAATAATTAAGAGAGGTATAGAAACAAGAAAACAAACTAAGACTTACCCTGATATAGTCTAAATATAAACTATTAACTTTCAATTTACTTAGAGGTTTTGAAAACGTAAAGAAAACAAAAGGAAATTATCTTTATAATTCAAATATTGCAGATGTTTCTAAGTTGGGGATTCTTTTAAGTTTGCCTGGGTCATGGGGAGCTTTTTCAATCTGAACAGGAAAGTATTTTTTTAAAAACTCAAAGATGATTTCTCAATTATGTGTATTATTATTGCTTCTGTCCAACCATCCTGCTTCCTTCCACAGTGACACTGCTATTTCAGATGGATTTATGTTACCTGCCCTACATGCTAATAATAAAAGTAAAAATCAACTAAGTACTTACTATATATATATATATATATAAGGAATATATAAGTATACCAAATTACTCTAATAATAACTATATTATTTCAGTCTGTGGAGGAAAAACCCTGAAATCTCAATCATTTCTCCTTGAAGGTATGCCTAGAGAGTAATTAGGTTCATTCTTCATTCAGTCAAAAGAGGATCACCAAAATGCTATAAATCCCTTTCAAGTACAGAAGCAGAACACAGACTGAAAGTACAAAGTGCCCAACCCGATTTCCCGGTGCACCAGGCATTTCTGATACAGAATCTTCTCCCATCCCCACCACCTGAGTCTTTGACATGCCACAATGACACAATCCCAAGAAACTCGTTGCTGTCTATCACACCCTCACCCGTACCGCCGGGAACCCAAACCACTAGGATGGGATGTGGCCTTGCCAGTCTTCTTTCAAAAACACAGAGGCACTCCACTTCACTGCCCTGTTAGTTTTCTCCCCAAGAGTTAAAATCTTGAACTTACATAAAAAATGCATTTCTCCCAGATTCTAAAAAATACTGTGACATTCCTAGTTTGAGACTGGGGAATGGTTTTCTTTTTAAATCTATTTCTATGTCTTCAGAGTATTTTAAAAGAAAGCAGGTTAGAATACATCAAAGCCTACTGACAATAAGCCATTTAAATTAGAAGTCCCCAGGCCACTTTCATTATTTTAAAAAATAAGGGCAGAGTACACACATGTGTTTTGTTTTTGTTTTTTCCCCTCAAAACATACTTCCCACTGGTTATACAGGTAAAGAAGTATTTTATAGAATTTCCGTATCTTCCAATTCATAGTTGTACGCTCAAATCCAAAAATGATGAGATATGACCAATTAAGGGAATAGAAACAAACTATCTTTGGGACTTTTATGTATGATTAGGACAGTGTTTCAGAGAAAATATTTCAAGTAGTGAATGGCAGCTGGCGAAGGAAAAATGACAAAGAAAAAATAAAGCAATGAAAAAAAAGGAAAGAAAGACAATAAATTACAGTAAACCAAGGAAACCTGTGAATCTGCAATGAGAATGACTTTAACATGAGGTATCAAAGGCATGGTAATAAATTTGTCTTAAAATCCTTTCAATTATTCAGTGTCTTTATTTTTCCTTTGTCTTTTACTGAATCACTAAAACTTCTTGATGGAAATATAGCCTTATCACTTACAGTTGCCTGTCTTTGGGGTTTAAATGCTACGGAATACACAAAGTTCCCAAGTCCCAAATAAAATAATTCAATTTTTATATTATACATTCTGCAGAAGCCTAGGAACAGCTCAAAAAGGCTAACTACTCTGAGATGTTCCTTTAATCTTTTGAGATTTTCTTTATAAACATCACAAGAATTACATATGAGTGTGTGTGTGTGTGTGTGTGTGTCTTAGACTGATGACTTATCAACTTTAAATTTATAGATGAATATACGGATTGGCATTTCATAGCAGAACAAGAACCAAATTGAAGAAAGTGAATTTGGAATTTCAGTCTTTCCTACAGTGGTATCTACTATTTAATAAGGGCTTTCTAAGTGACAGGTGCCATACTTATGCTTTATATGGATTCTCACTTCAATTAACTCCTTGAAAAAATTAGCATCTTTCTTTAATACATAACAAAATTCAGGTTTAGAAAGATTTGGTAAGTTGCCCAAAAACATATGGCCAATAAGTAGAATTCGAGTAATGTCTGAATCTAAAACTTGAGCTTTTGAGAATCAACAGAATAGAAATATAATAAAATGCAATCTATCTCTATAAAGATGATACCATGAAACACTGGTTCTCAAACTAGGATATACATGAGAGCTATGTGTGCAGGTTAAATACAGATGCCTGGCACCTGCCACCTACTTAAAGATAGAATCTCCAGGGATGAGGCCTTGACACCTGTACTTTTAAAACACCTCCACAGGTGTTTCTGATGCACATTCCTGTCTAAGAGTCACTGGAACCAACTAGCAGGAACAAACTAGGGGTGTGCCACTTATCTGGGGACACCTGAAAACAGGGTGGGGGAAGGTATGTTAGTTGTTATAATAACTTGGAAGTGAAAATGACTTTTAGCATTCAGGATCAGGGATGCTGCAAGGCCTGCAATGCCTGATCAATCCCACAAAATGAAGAACTGACCCAACCAAAATGTCACTGGCACACTGTTGGACAAAAATGGACTATATGCGTTCTAAGTTTTTTCTACAAACAGATAATAGATATTGAATTAAATTACAGTCCATAAGAGGCCGCATGAAAAACTAGATTCCTTTTTCATTAAGTTTAACACTAATACTATTAAGAATCTTGGGTATAAAGAACATCCAATATATAAAAACTTACATTTAAATGTTTCCGCTTCTAAAACCTGGCAGCTGGCTTGATGTTCAAACTGATCATCTTCACAAAGAAAGTTATGGCAAAAAGAACAACTGAAAATTCTGCCTCCTATTGGATTAAAGAACAAAACCCACAAATGTAAATATGATAAAGTTTAATTTAAAAAAACTTACCTGTAAAACTGCTCAGAAAAGATGGCAAGTTATTTCAGATTTACACTAAAACATCATGGCAGTTTTTGTTCTGGCAAAGGCTACAAAGAAAACTGACAAATTGAACCATAAAAGAGTGAACTCCCACTGTACCCTGGCTATCCATATATACTCACAATGCTCAGAGACACTTCCTCCCCTTTTACTCCCCTCCCTACCTGCCTAGGTAAAAATCCTAGTATTGCCTGTTACTGCCGGTATAAATCCCTTTTCCAACTAAACTGACAACCAAAACAGTGCCAGTACTTACAATTGATAGTATCCTAAAAAAAAATCATAAAATAAGAGCATCCAGAACGTTTCAAAGTCAGCCTTCACTTCCAGCAAAGCTTGTCATTTGTATGTAAACACTCACCATGGTCCCAGACACCCCGTTCACATTCCACACACTCAGCATCAGTAAGCGGGCAGGCACAGGCGTGTGTACTGAGACACTTCCTACCATGACAAACCCAAGCTTCACAGAAGTCACATATTGCACCCTGCAACCAAAGAACATGAAAAATTAACCTCTGACACAACTGGCTGCAGCCACAGTTTAAGCACTGGCAACCACCAAAATTATATACATTTAGCCACTTATCAACCTTCAGTGATAACGACTGCTTTATTAAAGAAAATGTACTGTTTAAGCCAAAATTAAAGTGTTTCCTGAAAATCAAACTACTTCACCAATAGCTATTTACAATATACAAATCTATAAATCAAAAGAAAAAGAAGAAGGGAAACTATACACTTAACGCTAATATTCATCATTAAAGTAAGTCAAAGAGCTGACAGTGTTGCCCCCAAGCTGAATTTTACAATAAATCAAATGAAGTCTAGAGCCCATAATTTAAGCATTCCTGTCTATAGCAATTCTGGTAACTAAATTAAGTTTTTTCAAATACTAACATTCTTGACTTAAGAAAGTTCCTTCTTGGGCTTCCCTGGTGGCGCAGTGGTTGAGAGTCCGCCAGCCAATGCAGGGGACGCGGGTTCATGCCCCAGTCCGGGAAGATCCCACATGCGAGCGGCTGGGCCAGTGAGCCATGGCCGCTGAGCCTGCGCATCCAGAGCCTGTGCTCCGCAACAGGAGAGGCCACAACTCTTATCTGTGTAATTTATAAAATAAATATATAGCTTTTCTAGAATAACAAGAGAGAAAATATTAAACTTCTGCCAGCATCTTTTTTAAGGCAACTTATGCATTAAATCATTATTATATCTCTTTGTTAAATAAAACTAAAATAAAATATTTGGAACTAAATGACAGGGTAAGACCTTCCAATTCTCTGTCAAGGTAAGACTGTAAGACTACACACACCTTTAATAACACAATGACATCTACAGAACACTAAGAGCTAGAAAGAATCTTAAGGAAATGGAATTGGATGGCTTTTCATTTACAGGTGAGGAGGGACAGGGGCCTGAGACTAAGTCCAAGTTCTAGAGCTATATTAGAGCTGAGCTGTGATTCAAATCCAGGTCTTCCAACCCTCAAAATTCACTGTTCTACTATTCAAGGCACTGTAACAAAAGTGGAAAAGAGCAAATAGGAAGAATGTTTGTGGACTTGTAAAAATAGATTTCCAGTGTAGATAGCAAGTCCTCGAATCTATCTCTTGGATTACTCAGGGTTCTAGCAAGAGAAGAATGACACATTAAACTGGGTAATCCAGGGGAGTTTAAAGAGATAATTCACAAAGAACAGGGAAGGGCTTCAAGTCAGGGATGATACTACCCCTAGGGCTGAAGGGCCAAGGGCAGGGAAGGGAGGGAGGTTCTACAACCGCAAGAGAGAGCCAGCCATATGCAGAGGACTACCTGGTCATATGGAGAGGTACTGGTGGCCAATGCATGTCGAAACCAGGACAAGCTGGTAGGGAGTAAGCTGGGAGAATAAACACCGGGATCATAATTTCCTCCTATCATCAGGTCTCTTGCCAAAGTCCTTTTTGGGCAGCTGAACCCGAAAAGAAGCCCTAAGTAAGACACTGATCCAGCCCACCACACAAGTCAGGCTCCCAGGGCAAATCAGGGGGAAGAGTCGGGGAGAGGGAATCTTAATCAGCAAATAGAAGATGGCCAGAAAAATCACTTTTCTAGAATTTAGAGCTAATGATGCAAGATTCTACTTTAATGTATTCTTTATATAAGAGATCATTCATACTCATACAACTCAGTGAATTAAAAAAATAATAATTTGATAAATCTAGACATAAGCAAACTACCAAGGAAGATTACAACAGCGTCTGAATAAAGAGAACACTGACGATCCTATACTTAAAGAATTTTCACAAGATGATTATGAATAATTCCAGCCCTTCTATAAGATAGCCACTCATGAAAAATATAAAGGTCTGCCTCATGATGGAAAATTATGTGTTCTTGGAAAATTATGAATATTCTACTATAAATATTACTTTCCTCATGGACTGACATTTGGACCTAAGAATAAATTCACACAATAGAATACACTAAAACTGGTCAAAAGGATAACATTTTTTTTTGAAAAAAAGAGCAAAATGCCTCACACAATGCAACTGTTTCTATTATTTAAAATAATGAATTTTCTTTGAAATGTCTACATGGAGCAAAGAGATAACAACATGTAATGAACTACATGTAACTACATGTAGTAAAGAGCAGAATTCTGTGTTAACTATGTACTCTTTTTTGAAACGTAAAGATTTAAAAAAACAATTAATCCTAGGTTCTTTTGGAACTACGTTGCTTATTTAACCAGAAGACTGGATCTTAGTTTAGCAGCACTTTCAGTATAGTAAATAATATTTTGTGATGTCTAATTAAGATATAATATTAGAAAGGTATCACTAACAAATGAATGTTGTTTAGGTCAACATTAGATGAGTTTCCCTTCCTTATACATTTCCCAATAAGAAAGAAGAAAGCAGTCAAAAACAAGTGTGTAATAAGTGAAAATCATACAAAAACATGCCACAGATAATCCAGATACCTCCAGACTGATTACATTTGGTCAGAATGCCTTCTCCTTCTCCTTGGAAACCTACTGGTCTAAAAGATAACTACAAGAAGCTTACCACCATGGCAAGGCCAGTACTGTAGACACCAGCATGTTTTATGACACAGTCAGAAGACTTCATCATGCACTTTGTTTTCCCTAGCAAAGAAACAAATTTTCACTATTAGTCTTGCAAAGTAGTACATGCAAATATTCACTAATTCCTCTTTTTATCTAGCCCAAGTTCCTATGGAAATAATTTGAAAATAAAGAGACCAGCACTATCTACTGCTTATATAACTGAAAAAAGAAAATGGATATAACTGAGACCTCATTACCTAAGTCAGATCTTTTGAGATTAGGAACTTATATGATAATTCACGTTTGTACTAAAATCAAAATTTGAAGGTTATGCTTTGTAATCTAATAATCACTAAAGCAGTTAAAAATCTTGTGAATTTTCAGATGAATTCAGGGAGATTTTTAAATGATATGCTTTAAAAGTGAATTTTACATTTTGTAATTCACAATAAAGGCAGTCTGATTTGAAGTTACTGCTTCTTTGTTTCCCTAGAACATATCAAACCAAAGCAAATCAAATAATAATTATGCAAATTATCTGGTTCATTTTTTTTTTATGTTTAACCATAGTTAAAAATTTACAAACTTAGCCCCTGGGTAAACATTCTTCTAAAAGAATTGTCAAATAGTGCCCAAATGAGCACAAAAATCAGGAATATAATGATAAAGCTAAAAATCACAATACAGCCACAAGAGCTCTTATCTAGCAGCGAATTACCAACCAGAAACACTGTCAGGAAATTCACTTATCACATGCTGTGAGAGGATTAATGGTGACATATTAATCACGCATCTCAGACTCCACAAAGCAGAACACGAAAGAAACAGAAGATGCTCAATTTTCCACTACCTTGATTACCTAAGAAACAAAGCTAGACAACAGGAAATGGGAAGAGAAACAGGAAATGAGGGGCAGCAGCCCCCTGTCCAACACTGAAGACAAGAATCAGTGAGCGGGAAGTGTATCCGTGCACAGCACCACAAACGCTGAAAACAGGGGAAGGGCTTAGCGACAGCTTATCTCAATCTTCTCCACAGTCTATTTTCCCACTCTACATCCATTTGTCTTTTGTAAATAAGGATATAAAAACCGGCAAATGACTGGTCTATCTAGGCCAGTGTTCTCTTTTCCATTAATTACAGACCTCAAAGCCATCTCTGAAAGCTAGACCTACACTAGAAACATTCAGGGGTGTGGCCCTAAGCCTTCCTAACTTTCTGCAATGTTATCATGCATAAACACATTTAAATGAGCATATCTCAAACTGTGTTTCACCTGAAACTATTATCCTATAAGCAAAGGGGATACTTGTTCAAATAAAAGTTTGGGGGACAAATCTGGAGTAAAGACAATTAATCAGGTTTCTCTACTGGAGGTCTTCAGAACCTTTAACACATACATAGGTAAAAGAACTCTCCCAGGTGGGAATGAGGGAATGAAACACGCAGCATGTCTCAAACGTATGCTCTGCTTTAAGAAATACCTACTAATATCTCAAGTATTCTGTGGAAAACTATTTGGGAAACATGGATCTTGTTGTTCTATGAACTACTATTTAGTTTTACTCTGAATAATCATTTACTCTGAATAAAAGTTTCCACTTATACTTGGGAACTAGGTAAGTGGCTTAGGAACTCTATTCCACTCACTTGGGAATACATGTGAGGAAATTCAAGAATCATACGCTAAGAACCAAACAGAAAAACAACTGATCACAAAAACTGGCACGAGGTATATTGGAATAAAATTATTTTCAACAGCCTAACACACTGCAGGCAGTATCAGCAGAAATCAAAATTTAGGAAAGTAAACAAAGGATATCGACAAGACTAAGACAGTATAAATAAAAATGCAGCATCACCAAATGTTATTAGTGTGAAATCTAATCTTTCCATGTTTAAAACAACACGTGGTACCTTTATCTAAACTGTATCTTAATTATTTTCCAGCATTACATCAATGAGACAAAACCAAGGCTTGACAGTTTTTTGATAGGCCAAATAACATTTTATGTAGTCTTATTAATAGTAAGGTATAACATTACTGTAAATGATAATGATGAACCCACAGGTTCAAACTGATTAAATGCCAAACAAATGTTTGATAAAAGAAAAGCATGTGTTGTGATCATATACTTACCACACTGTGCACAAATTGGTAACTTCTGTACAGAATTACAAAAATAGCAAAATGCTCTATTCTTCTGCCGTCTTGTCATGTAAAAGAAAATTTTAAAATTTAGTCAATATCAGATAAAAGGTCAGTCTATATTATTACATATAGATAGAAAAAGAAACAAATAAAAATTTACCTCTGACACTTGTCACATTCCTGTAAAATATAAAAACATAACATTAATTTGTCTACTGGCTGAAAACTGCAAAGTTACTTGAATTATAAAGAATACCGTTTTTCATGTTAAAATTTAAGTGACATTTGCCCAAACCCTCCAATTCCACCCATGAATACAAGCATCTCTACATACTTTAACAACAAAGGTATGTTTTGGGGCATACCACACTAGAGAAAGAAGTGGCCTTTTCACAAAAGAGGCTAAATACAGTAGTGGTCTGTTTTTTGGATTTTTTTTTTAAGCAATCAGAAAAATAATACAGAATGAACACAAGAAACAGTAGAGAACACAGTACGTTGAAGCTCACAGAAAATCCAGAATTCTAAACATGGTATTAAAAACTCTCCACAATCTGGTCTCTAACCACTTTTCAAACCTCACTGGCCTATTCTCTTTAGATTCAAGTCAGCCATTCTCAAAATATGTCTTGTATTTCTTCTTTTCCATGCCTTACTTATTCTAATACTTTTCCCTAAAAAGTCCCTCCTCACTTCTTTATCTACTGGAAGTCCTGGTGATGATCCCACCTCCTCTATGAACTGACCCCAACCCCACACTCACCTTTATCACCTCAGTCCTAATGAACCTTAATCCTAATTGTACCTTTTCTGCAGCACTTACCAAAGTCTAGCCCTCACTGTATATATTTATGTATGAGTCATTTCTTTGTCCTCCTTCTCTTCTCTAGAAATCACCCTGGCACGGATGACGGAGTCCCCACTGTCCTATCTGTGCTATGTCATCTCGCTCCCCCTCACCCCCCCACCAACCCAGTACAAATGCTGGTTAATCCTGGGTTGGGCACCCACCCAAGCCCAACCCATCAGAGTTCTTTCCTTCTCTGAGGGCAACAATATGTGATGTGAGACATGGGAGCTATGGACCCAGTGGCTATGAACCCCCCAAAATGGAATAAAACAATCTGAGAAAATGGAACTAAATAAAAGCAAAAGACAGAACTACAAGTTGTTTCAGGTTCCAGCTGTCCCTGCATCCCAGCTACATCCATGCCCTTCCCAACTACACAAGTTAGCCCATTACTCATTCAATAAACTATTTCTCCCTGAAGTTACTTAGGTTGGATTTCTGTCATTGATAAACATTAAGTAATACAGAAAACAACTGAGCTATAAGCTTGAGGAAACCAGGACTGTGTCATTCAGCCACGTATTCCCCACAGTGCCTAAAATAGTACCTGGCACAGAGTAGGCACACAATACACATATGAGGAATTAAGTCACATTAAGCATTTCATATGTGTTCAATGAAATCAAAAAAGAAAAAAAAAAAAGAGGAGTGGGAACAGAAAAAGTAGAGAGGCGTGGAAACAGGAAGATACGGGACAACTCAGAGAAATACGGTCAAAGGAAGGGAAGAGGTAATGATGACTTAGGATGAAAAGGCTCCAATTAATAGGACAAACTGAGGAAGGCATACTAGGTTAGAGAAGCTGGAGAATGTCACACAGTTCCTAGTATGTATTCCTGTTCAATACATATCTATTTATCACCAACAGTAGCCAAGGTAATATGACAGGTTTCAGAAATAACAAAATCAAACAAAATTCACCACTACTCAGTGTTAATAAAAACAACAGACATGCCTTTAACATAGATTTATATAGTTTTTCAATTGATAACCAAAAAAACTTACCATTGAAGCATTGCATGGGTGTTTAGCTAAATCGATAGTGCTTCTTGATGCTCTTAGTTGTTTTTCACGTTCCCGGCGATTCTCTGCCTTCTTCCTTGCACCAGTCTTTTTTTTAGGCATCTCCCCTTCTTTCTACACAAGCAAACAGAGAAGATATAATTGCCTTGTTGCATCTGCTATTTTAAAGAAACTAAGGAATAGCAGAATGAAATCTTCTAATTCTCATTAAACTTTAAACTCAACCCTGCTATTTTGATGGTTAAGCACATTTTAAGCCTTTATGCTTCATTTAGCACACATCATCCCAAATAGATGGCTTTTAAAATAAGGCACTTATTTGTATTACCAAACAGTTCTAAAAAATGTAAACATCAAAAAGATTTATCCTAACAGCCAAAATGGTTTTCTTTCCCACAGAGCAAAGTTTCTCTGATATTCAATATTCTTTAAAAATTACTCTGTACCAAGTGAAAAAAAATTATTAGGAATATATAAATAACAAGAATCATTTAAAAGTATATTATTTACCCAGTTTATATCACTTTTTTAAGCCCTATATTCAGATGACCTGATGCTGCCAAGTCTTCAAGTATGTCTAAATTCTTCCATGTAATACCTAAATAAAACATCTAATAGTCAACTCAAATGACAACATTAACTACAAAGCCAAACTACCCGCTCCGAAAAGATATTAAAGGCATCGGAGTAGCTTTGACTCCCTGAAAGCTGCCTTTCCCGCTACTTTTACCTGCAGCGAGCATGTAATTTTAACAAGGTTCAAATTTAACAGTATGTGTTTACCACACATATCAAAATAAGGACTTTAAAACTGGCTTTTATCAGGTAGTTGAAAGAACTACCTCATTTAGAAAAACAAGGTTTTCACTAAATAACACATTTTTATTTGGCTTTTCATCCCATCTGAAGACACAAGTTCCCTGAGGGTTCCAGCCCTATCTTTCTTGACAATGTTTGCTTCCCAGCCCTGCCTGGCATAAATTAAGCCTTAACAAATGAAGAGATACACGAATGAACGAGTCCATGTGCTTGCTTTGAAATTTGAGAATCTCAAATTTCTTAATATTCTTCAAAATACATGTATTTTTTAAAAAGTCTTTTCTAAGAGTGGTTCTCAAAAATCAACTGTGGAATTCCCTAAAAGCACAGATTTAGACTTCTAGGCTCTATCCAAGATGTACAAATTCCAAACCTCCAAGCACGGTTTTAAGTTTCACTGGTGACTGACACACAACCTTCCTGAAGACAAAAATATTCAAAGAAACCAAAGTCGTGTCCATGATACAGGGTGAGAGTTCCATGAAAGCACACCTTGACACTCACAGTTCTCATTACAATACAGCAAAATCATACACCAGCTTGCACCTGGAACAATACTAAGGTCACTCATAAAGTTGTCCTAATTTCCGGGTTTCAACTCTGATGTTGGAATGCCCAATCAAAAAACCGCACGGTGGTTAGTTGCGACTTAAAAATATGAACAAACCAGACAAGGAGGTTTAGTGGGTGGTTACCTGGAGTAACGTCCAAGTCCACTAGGTCACCCTTCCGGTATTTACAATGACAAAATTTACAGGGTGAAAAGTTGTGTACTGCCCTCGCCAAAGGAGCTAAAAAAATAATCACAGGGTGATCACCGGTTGAATTTTCTGCGTCCCCCGGGGAGAACCCGCTGGGAAAGTTGAGCATCATTTTTTTCTCCTCTAGTTTGTTTTGTAAACTTAAAGAGAGAATTCTATTTCTTAGCGTTATACGGGTTTAAGCCCTTCTCCAGGAACGCTCCCACTTCTTCAGGACGTGGCCCGTGTCACGAAATGAGAAAACAGGCCCGGGGCCACTGCGGCTTTGGAGGCAAAGCCTGCAGCCGGAGGACCCAGCGGGGTGCAGGGGGAGCCCAGGGGAGAGTCGGCGGAGGTGCCACGCGACTCTGGGAACCAACGGCCGTCCCCGCCCGCGGGGCACCCTCCCTCGCGCGCGCTCCGGGCCGACCTCGCTCACCCTCGCGGGGAGGCCGGGCTCACTCCGGGGGCCGAGGGGCAGGGAATGGCGTGCGGCCCACCCGCGGCGCCTGCAGATCCAATTCGAGGACCACGATTCCGGGGGAAAAACTGCTTCTAAGCCCCGAGAAAAGCGGACAGAGACGCTTCCAGGCACTAGGAGCCGGACCGGATGTCCTCTGACGTCAGCACGTCGACAGGGAAGGGCCCGCCCACTTCTGTTCGCTCCGCCCCGTCACTCGCCCTTCCGCGGGGGGCGGGCCTCCCAATCCTGGGCGGAGGACCTGACTGAGAGAAGAGGAGAAATGGGGGAACAGAAGGAGGGAAAGGGTGGAAAAGGCACCTCAATTTTATGTTTTCAGAAAAGGAGAAATCTAAGCGAAGAGAAAAATCTAAAAAGAAAAAGGAAATCAACTTACCACCTGGTAGTGGATCAGTTGACTCAAACAAAATTCTTGCCTAATTCTTCTGGAAACTTTCTGCTACCCGCATATTTTGTGCCCTCACATCCCACTTTTCGTGTTTGCTCCACAAGTTGTCCCTTTAGTTGTTCAGTGAAGTTCTGTACTACCCTCCTTTGTCTATTTCCACTGGCCTTCTGGAATTCCATTCTTTTGTGAACAAATTCTTCCGCATTCTGAGCCTCTAGTGTGTTTGCTGCCTGTCCTTAGCTGAAACGTAACATCACCCCCACCCCCTTGCAGAGTCCGTTTGCTTTAAACTTGAAAGCGAAGGTTGCGCATTTTCCCACACTTCCTTCATGTCTTGGTTAGGGGGGTGGGGTGTGTCCCCTTGCTTCCCAGTGCCTCACTCACATAATTCATCCTCGTTTGTATGTAGCAGTGCCACTTTTTATCCTTCCTTGTTGCTATGTTTTACCCTCTCCTCACGGATGGAAGACTCTGGAACCTGACTTCCAACTTGTGCCATCACCCAGAATCACATTAATATCTAAATGGAAGACCCATCCTCTTGGGCTCTGGGTTTCTTCATCTCCAGTAGCCATCACCTCTGCTCCAAGACAGGCACCCACTCTCATGACTGTACCCGAGGCCTTGTCATCAGGTGGAACTATTCCACCACTAAAATCCAAAATTCAAACATCTAACCAACCAACTTCCTAATTACCAACTCTCTCAGCTGTCCCTAACGAAGACTTCGAATCTAATGATCCTTCTCTTTTCTCCCTATCAATTATCCCCCTGCTTTCTTCCCTTCATTTCTTCCCCAGTTAATAAAACACAATTCATCACTTCAGTCACAATTTTCCATGTTTTTGTCCTGAGCAAACCAACTGGAACATTCCCAATTCTGCTAATTCAACAGCTTGCCTTTTCTTTCCTATTCTGGACATCTGAGTGTTATTAAGGAGAAATAAAGTTACACAATCATGATTCTACTCTAAATCCAAAGTCACTGACCTCCACAGGTCTTTCAAAATTGCGCTGCAAGCCTCCTATATTTTCCTAATCAAGCCCATCATTCTCATTTTCCATGAGGGCTTTATCACATCTTCTCCCCTTTCATCAAACTTCTACCACTTCCTCCATCAATTTTAGCAGATATTATTGCCTCCTTTCTCACAGAGAAAATCGAGTAGTATCGGTAACAGCTAAACAATATCACTGTGTGCTCCTGGCATTCTAATTACATGTGTAGTGTTAACTCGTAATTTTACACATGATGAAACTTGGTCAGAGAGACTGTGCAACTTATTTCAATATCACCCAGATGGTTTCGCTTGCAATGTCGTCTATTGTAGCAGTCTTAAAACTTTTGGTCTCAAGACCCCTTAAAACCTCTTAAAAATTGAGAACCCTAGCAAGCTTTTGTTTATGTGGGTTATATTCAATTGACATTTACCATATAAAAAATTAAAACAGATAAATTTTAATGTTCATTTATTACAAATTATCTTGATAAATCTATCACATGTTAGCATAAATAGCATATTTCTATGAAAAATAACTATACTTTCCCAAACAAAAAACATAGAAGAGTGCTAATGATTTACGGTTTTGTAAATCTCTTTAATGTAAAGCTTAATAGAAGGCAGGTGAATTCCTGTATCTGCCATTCCATTGAGAAATGTTTTGACGTTTCCATTTTCCCTACAAATAGTTAGCCAAGGAAATGGCGCAGAACCCTCTGGGGAAGAACTGGGGGAATTACTACAATGTACATCTTTTATGATATTTCAGGGCCTTCTTCCTACGGATCTGGCCTTTTCTCTATTGATGGGTTCCAGATCCAAAAACTGGCTCAGACTTTAGAACTGGGCAAAGAATTGTGACTCATTATTAGAGTATTGCTCTCAGGCCCCTAGTCACACACTCCCTTGATTTCTTTTGTTTGTACAAACTGAGCCATATCCTTGATTGCTGCCCATCCCATTTTGTTCCCAGAGTCACAATATTCTGTTATCCATCTCCCTAATTTTCTGAGGATCAGACCCTTCTCCCTCACTACCACTCTGTTCTTGTCACTCGTTACAGTATGTCAACAAATAGACAAATGTGACTGAATAAAAAGCCTAAAGACTCACATACATTTTGCAACTTGGTAAATGGAATAGTCTGCGTTAACGTCAGTGAGAAGAGAGGTATCGTTCAGTAAATGATGTGGAGACTATTGGTGATCCATATGGAGGAAAATAAAATTAGATCCCTCCCTATTTAACAGCATACATAAAAATAAATTCCAGATGGATTAAAGATCTAAATATACAAAGCAAAAATATAAAACTATTGTAATAAAATATGTGAGAATGCCTTTTTGATCTCAAGGTACAAGTGATTTCTTAAATAAGTCACAAAAAGCAAAAAATTACAGAAAATAAATAATGCATGTAACTGATTAATAAATTTAAATAAATTTAATTAAATAATATATGTAACTGAATCAAAATTTTAAACTTCAGCATGAATAAAGACACCACAAGCAAAGTGAAAAGGCAAACTAAAAATTAGGGGATTGAATTTGACATGTATATAACTGACAAAAAATTCATATAGAGACTCAGTTATCAACTGATCAGAATTATCAAAAGAATCACCATTCAGTGAGAAAACCACAAACAACTGAAAAGAATTACAGGCAAAAGAT